TTTCCATCACTGGCTGGGGGCCAACACCAGGAACTTTCGTAGACATTGATGTCCCTGGAAACAGATGCCTGGAGTAGAATTGTTGGTTAATGCAACTTCTCAGTAGGCAGAGTGACACACTGCTAGACCCCTCGGGGGTAGGAGAGAGTGTCTTATTTGGGACTAGACTCCACCCAGGAGCCAGGTATCACCTTGTTAGACATCCACTGTGGATGGTGGAGATGACGGCCCCAGAAAATATTTTCGGAGATGTGCAAGCTGGAAAGCTGGTAGCAGCAGAGACGACCCAGCTGGGTGGGAGCTTTGTAGGGGAATCCAGCCACATGGCTGGAGAGTGCCAAGCCAACTGCCCCCAGGATCTGAGAAGCTGAAACAATCTCCTTGCCGACCTAAGAAACTTCTCCAATTTACAGGAGAGAGTGATGGCTAAGAGCACCAGCCCTTCTGCCTGGATTCCAGTCTTTGCTAGAACACTTACTGGCTGTGTGACTCTAGGCAAGTCACTTAACCTCTCCGAGCCTCCGTGTTCTTAGTAATCTCGGTGTAATCCTGGCACCTGCCTCAAAAAGTTCATGTGGTTACTGGGTGAGATCACATATGCAAAGTGCTTGGTACATAGTGAGCAGTCAACAAATGATGGCTATTTGTACCTCAGTATTTTTTATTACCATAGCAAAAGTAAACCAGAGGAATATATTGGGGAAAAACATGGGCTTTGGACTCCGACCAACGAGGGTGCTGATACTGGTCTCACATGTGCTTGTTGCTTCTTTGAGCCTCAGTTTCTTCATCTGCAAAAAGTGGAAGGGATTGTGGCAAAGGTAAATGAGATATGCATGAATAAGGTAGACGACAGTGACTGACAAAGAGTAAAAACCAATAAACAACTCTATCGTTCTTCCTATTATCATTACCGTGATCACCGCCAAAGCATTGGAAGTGATGGAGGGCTAGCAGCCTCAGCATTTACAGAACTCCTACTGTGTGGAAAGTTCTTTCTTCTGGGAAGATGGGGGTAGGTAGCATCCCTCTCCCTGCCCCCTAGCCTTGTGGTTCCCCGTTTTCCTGAGGCCCTGTGGCTGGTTTGTGGAGGTACGCTGTTGACATGCCCCCGGCACGAGGGCCCCCGCCCTCTCCACTGCCCTCTCCTGCCTCCTCCTGCCCACCCTCTGTGATTATCCAGGATGAGCTGGGTCTCTCCAACCCCCTGAAGACTGGATGGGTTTGGATGCCTTTCCCCAGGCATCTGTTTTTGCATGCTTCTTAGCCGAACCTCATTTTTCTGTGGGCAGCCCATTTTTCGATGCCTTAGAAAAAATAGATGTGTCAGCTGTTTTTCATTTCCGGGCTTGTCTGCCACTTCATTAAAGTGCTGTGTATTCATGTCGAAGTTCATTTATGGGGCGGGGGTTGCATGAAGTAACCACAGGCCCAGTTCCAAGGCCCAATCATTTCCTAGGTGGCTGCTACTTACATGTAACCGTTGTTTGGCTGCAGCCTTGGGCCTGGGGAGGTGGTGGGGGATGGGGTCATGGGGCAGGGACTGGGACAAGAGAAACGCTGGTCCTCCTCCAGCTCTGTTGCCATCCAGCCCCACCCCCGCTGCCCGCGCCTTACAGAGTCCGGCCTTTGTCAGGGGCTGGGAGGACTGTGAGGTGAGGTGGGGAGAGCACGTGCCTAGAAGGACAAGCAGCGCAAGACGGCTGCCCTGGTCAAAGCTGGTTTCCTTTCTTCTTTCTCCCCCTTTAGGGCTCGGCAGCCTTACGCACCCCAGATGTCCAGTGGGCGTGTCCCTAGGTGAAGTGACCAGCAGACAGGCTGCATCATTTTCAGGGCACAGTGCAAAATTAAAATGTGGCCGCTTCCTGCCCTGGCCAGTTTGGCTCAGTGGTTAGAGTGTAAGCCTGGGGTCTAGAGAGACCCGGGCTCGGTTCCCGCTAAGGGCGCATATCTCAGTTGCAGTTTGTCACCGGCCCTGGTTGGTTGTGTGGGTGGCAGCCACTCGATGTGTCCCTTTCACATCGATGTTTCTCTCCCCCCCCCCCCCCGCTCTGTCTGAATAACAAATGGAAAAATATGTCCTCAGGTCCTCGGGTGAGGATTAAAAAAAAAATATGGCCGCTTCCCATGGGCCTGTGAAGGGGTGACCCCAGAGACTGTCACTTCTGCACTCTGGGTCCATAAACCAAGGGGTCAGGAGTCACCCTCTGAGTCAGCAGCACGTGCGTCAAGGTGCTGCCGGTCCAGGTCAGGGAGGCTGCACCCCGGGGCCTGGGTCCCCACCACACGGCCCAGTCAGCATCTGGGGGGTAGGATGACAGTGATGGGGCAGGGTGGGGGAGACCCTGCCAGGCCAGGGTTCAGGAGGTGGGCAACAGGTGCCTAAAAAACCCTTCCAGGGAGATAGTGGAGGCAGGCCCAGGAGTGGGCTGTGGCCCCAAGCCCCCAGTGCGTGCTCCGTCGCCCGGTCAGACTTCCCCTACAAAACACAAAGTCTAAGGCAAGAGCACTAGAACATGGAGACGTCAACTGCACAGCACTGAACCCCGAGCCGGGGCCCTTAGGATGTCAGGATCCGTGGGGGCCCAGGGGCCAGTGACTGCGGATTCCCGAGAGAAGATTGTTGGCTCAGTGTGAGACCAGGTGGGGCAGGGGCAGGAACCGGGCCGCCCACTAAGAGCGAAGGGGCAGGTGTAGTCCAGGCTTGGAGCATGCGCGATGGGGCGGGGCTCCACTGCGCAGACAGCAGGCGGTGCCGGACCGACCCCAGATGTTCCTCTCCAGCGGCATGTGCTCCATCCATAAGAGGAGGGCACCCTGCTCCTAGCCTCAGCTTATTCAACTGTCAAGTAACAAAATCGACAAACTCCCAGCAGTCTGAGCGTTTTCAAGGTGCTTTTGGCAGGTGCTCTAGCTTTCTGGAAATGATCATCAAAACCGCGTGTGACCCTTGGATTTGATAACAGAGCTGGAGAGGGGGGGAAACACTGGGTGGCCTTTGAGGCTTCCTTGAACCCCATGCTACAGAATTTCCATGCTGCGTATCATGAGCATTTAAAAAACTTTTTTTTTTCTTTTTACTGATTTTAGAGAGAGAGGAAGACAGAGGGAGAGAGAGAGAGAAACATTGATGAGAGAGAACATCAGTTGGCTGCCTCCTGCATGCCCCACACTGGGGATTGGGCCCATGACCTGGGCATGTACCCTCACCAGAACCGAACCAGTGACCTCCTGGTGCACAAGTCGATCTCAAACACTGAACCACACTGGCTGGGCTCATGACCATTTTTAAAAGAATATTTTCTTTTCCATTCCTCTATAATACACAAGTACCTCCTTTTCCTTGAAAAAAATATCTCCCCCCGAATGTCTTCTAGATGGGGGAGGAACTGGAAAGAAAGGAAGGAGAGCGTAGGCCATGTTTGAATGTTTATTCCTAAAAATAGAGTGTGAATTTTTATTTTCCACACAAAGAAAGTGTCAACAGATTTAAAGACTCATTGTCACTAAGTCTGAATTTGGTGCTGTGATGTTTTCTTGCCTTCTGACCCAGCAGCTGGAATTCATTTGCTTGGCTGTAAGGTAGAGAACATAGCCAGGGTTTTACCGTAATTACCTCTCCAGTCTCTAATTCTTTGTAAACCACTTTGGCAGTAGGGTTTCATCTTCCATCTTGAAACTAACTGGTGACTGATTTTTTAAAATTAGACCGTATCTTGTGAATTTTAGTAGATTCTATTAAATGTGGTTTATGTGTACTAGTCACAAATATGACAGTGCCTTTGATAAAGTGTTTTAATATTTTTCATGTAGGCCTATTTATTACACTCTCTCTACTGCCCACTCCTTGTGTAAGATCACTGGGCTAAGAGAACACTTATGATCATTACTACCCACCACTGATTACTAAGGACATAAAATACCTTGTGTGTGTGTGAAATGATTATTCTTATAAAAACTATATGATATTGCTGGTGCGATGCCGTTTTACAGATGAGGAGCTCAAGACTCAGGGAAATTAAGTCCACGATCTAAAATGTGGCCCAGCTGGGACTCGAACCCCTATCTGACCCCCAGTTCCTTCCTCTCTGCCATTCATGCACTCAGCTCTGTGACAGGGCTCTTTATAAAGGAGAATACTAAGAAATGCATTATGTTTTATTGCAGGGTACATGTCGCCTCGGGCCCCCACCCCATGAGCACAGGCCTTTGACAGTCTAGTGATGTGAGGTGACGGAAGGCTCTCTGAGCTTTGGTGACTCGCAGAGTGGCCGCTTGTGTCTTGCAGGACCAGCTGTAGCCTGGAGGGAAGGAAGGGGTTGGGGTGGGAAGCTTTGCTGGAAGGCAGCAAACAGAGTAGACAGAACATTGCTCCTGGGGCCAGGAGGACCTACTCTGTGTCCTGTGGGCAAGCCTTTACCATGAGCACCAGGCAAAAAGGGGAATAGCCCCAAGCTGATAGGATTATTGGGAGGGTTGTCATGAAACAAGAGGAAGGACAGGAACCCTCTGAGATACACAGAACGTTTAACAGTAGTTAGTTGTGGTTGCAAAAGGACCAGATCTTACTCCCTCTTTCTACAGCTTTCCCACGCACACACCTGACAGACACATAGTCACTTCTGCTTAAGATTCTGCACGCATAATTTCCCATCGCCTCTGTGTTCTTTTCAGAGTTTAGATGAAGGGCTTGAAGGACACTGGGTGTCAATGTCCGTCCGCAGAATTCGGCCAAGCATGCGGCATGCCTCTTCCATGCTGGAGGGATGGCCATGGAGGGATAGTTGGGCCTGGCTCTTGTCTCCCTCTTTTGCAGTGGGGTGCCTCACTGTCTCCTCCTGAAGCCTTGGCTTTCCAAAGGGACAAAAAGCTTCTTAAATGTGGAGGCATGATGAGCTCACATGTGCCCAGAACGCCGTGCCCTCGCCCACTGGAAGTGGGAGAAGGTTGTCGCTCTGCAACGTAGCTCAACTCTTGTGTTCTTTGTTCTCTTTTGGCAGAACCAGCTTCTTGCAAAAGGACTGTTGTTTGTGGAGGAGAAGATTAAGCTGTGCGAAGGCAAGTACAAGGCTGCCCTCGTAGACTGGGGTCCCTGTGACTCAGCCTTTGATGTTTGGACAGCTGAAAGGCTTCTGCCCAAAAGCGGCAGGCTCCGCGCGAGTGACTCAGCCCTCCCGCTGCTTCCTCAGGGAGGCAGCGCGTCTCGGTGCCAGGCAGCCACGCACGGCCGTGCCAGCTAGGACTGGGTTTTGAAAAAGGAAGTGGAACTGGGGTGGTCTCTTTGGAGACCTCGCTTAAGGAAGGTTAGTCATGGGATGTGTGCTGGTGGTCTCCTTTGACGGCATGAATGATACAGTGGATCCGGTCATGCTGCGCGCTCTCGTCTGATCCAGGCTACTGCTTATTGGCCTCTGTCGCAGTTCTTGTGGGCATACGTGACTAGAGGCCTGTCCATTTGGGAAACATTAGGCCAGGCAGACACCCACGTAAGGGGGGTATCATTTGATAAGCAAAGGAGAATTTTCTGCCCTTAAAATATTTTTAGAGCCCATCTGACAAGACAGAATGCAATTGGAAAATAGGTCCAGAGGTAAGAATCCGCCAACCCCACGACTCCACCTATGTGGGTCGTGGTCTCAGCTGCCCCCTCTTCTTGGGTGGTTTTTGGCAAGTTTCTAGATTCTTTGAGCCTTGTTTTTTTGTTTTTGTTTTTTAATCTTTAAAATGATAACTCGCGGGTAGGCGTGGTGGGGGATAAAGTGCATAACCGGCATAGCACCGTACCAACACATAGTAGGTACGCAAGCTGGTTCCTTTTTTTTTTTTTTCCTTCCTACTCTAGCCTGGAGACCTCTTGTAGGAAAAACTTAGTTCTAGACCCAGACATATCAGGCATTAGATTACCCCTTTTCCTTTCGCATTCCCTGGGTTTTTCAAAACCCAGGAAAGAGACCGCCGTCTAGGAAAGTGGTTCCTAGACGGACCAAGTGGGAGGAGAAAGGAGCAGCCCACAGTGGGCGGTTCGGTGTCCGGCCCACGCTGCGTGCTCACCGAGCCTTTGGGAGAACGGAGGTTAGAAGCTGACCTCTGCCTCTTGGAGAGCTGACGGACCCTGCAGCCTTGTTTCTGTGCTAAGACTCTCCACCCTCATAAGTACCCACCAGCCCAGGGCCTTATTTATAAGTGACTTGCTTTGATGAGAACTTAGCGGGCCCTTCGCATTTTGGTGGCAGGCTGGTGTACACGTGTAGAAGGGGCGGCCTCGGAGAGAAAGGAAAAAGAAGCGTGGTTTCTGGCCACGTCATTTGTCTGTAAGTCATTTGAGGAGTTACTCCTGTGAATATGGACAGATACCGGGTTTATGAAGAAGATGCTGAGCAAAACCAGAGATCTCAGTGCTCTTAAAAAGGAAAGTTGACGGTCTCTCGCCCGAGTGACACGCGGCAGATGCATTCAGAGTGAAACCTCAGAACTGGAGCTAGACGGGTAAAGAAAGATCATCCAGGGTTTGTGCCCCAAGGTGTGGCCGGAGAATCCGGGCCAGGGTGTTCTCTCTGGGGTCCGAGTGTCAGGGTCCTTCCGCCCAGTGAAGGGACCTGAGGAGAACCTTTAAGGGTTTTTCAGACCTTCAGCCAGAACATCTCTAATGCATTTTATATATTATGACTCCGAGAAAGATTTTGTTTGATCAAAGGATTCCCTTGCTCTAAAATAGTTTGGAAACGACTGATAGGATCCATCCTGTTGCTGAACAAACTTCCCTCAATGGACCTGTTTGCTTCTGTGCGTCCGCCCGCCGTGTGCAGAAAGGGCAGAGGGGGCTCTGTGTCGTGGGATACACCACGTGACTCTCAGCCGGCCCTTCCAGGGCTTCAGTGATCCCGACCTGAAGGAAGTTTCTTGTACCTACTTTTTATACCTCTGGTGATCTGAACTCTCATGGTACACGAGAGGAGAGTTTTCGAAGAGAGTCATCTAGAACCTTCCGTCCAAAGCCCCTTTATCTCTGCAGGGAGCTAAGTCCTTGGCTTGTGGGCTGTTTCTGGAGGTGACATCACCTCCTTCCTAATCTCTCCTTCCCTGGGGCTAGCCTGTGTCTGTCTGATGTTCCAAAGCCTCCCTTGCTCTCTGAGGTTCGCACCAGCAGTTAGACCCAGGTTCCCAGGACAGGTGTCTTCCTGCTCCTGGGTTGAAGGGTGACCTCAGGCGCCGATGAGCTTTGCATCTTGGTGGTGAAGGGGGTTGGATAGGCATCAGCATGGACCTGCAGGATTCTCCTCGCCTCCTTCGGGTCAGAAGGGCCTCTGCATGTCTTTGTAACGGAGGGCTGAGGATAAGGGCCCGCAGTACAGGAGCTGGAATAGCCTCTTCTCCTCTGAGGTACATTCATCAGGTGTTGGGGCTCATCTTGGTTTTGGATACTAGGATGACCTAACATTTCAAATGGTCCTTTGGACTTCTCTGACTCCTCTTTGCAGAGAACTAGCATAGCCGGAAAGAGGATGCTGATAGATTGATCCAAACGTTTATTGATTATTTAACTATATACCAGGTACTTTCCTAAATGCTGGGCACACAGTGGTGAACAAAACCATCATAGGATTACAGGCCCTGATGGAGCTCACAACCTGGTAGTGGAGACTGAATCAAATCATCTCCAAATATAAAACTGTAACCAGGACAAGCACTGAGAATACTGTCCTATCCATAGTAGCGGATGTTGGAGCTGAAACCGCAAAGAGAGGAGGGAAAGAACAGTCTGGGCAGAGGGACTAGCACATGCAAAGGTCCCATGGCACAAAGGGACATGGTGAATGTGAGGGGCTGAGATAAAACCCAGATAATGAGGGCCAAGAGGCTGAGGAGGGTCGCTCACATTATGGGAGTTGTCTTTAAGCGAAGGAGAGTATTAGAGCTAACCATTAAGTCCTATTCTGTGCTGTCCCATATTCAGGTTAAATGGTAACTCCTTCTACTCACTGGCCCCAGCTCTGCAGAAAACCTCTATATACTTACTACTTGTCATTCATTCTTTCTTTCTTTCATAGATTTCTAGAAATTGATTCATCGAGGTGTCTAGCATCATGCTGAGCACTAGAAATATAATGGTGCAGGACAGAAAGGGTCAGGGCACTACTCCCCTTCTAGTGGAGACAGGAGTAAAATAAGTGATCCCAACTAAGTGTGATTAGCGCTGTGGGGGGCAGAGGAGAAAGGGCGCTGTGGGTTAGCATTTCCCCCGAGCACTGGGATCTTCCCAGTCTGCACGTCTCTGGCCGGGCTCGCTACCAGGCATGCCCCTGCTTTGTTCTCTCCCCAGCCACTGCTTACTGCCCATCACACAGGTAGGTGGAGGGCACCCCATGAAGCGTTCCGTATCGGTTCCGTGGGACTGGCAGTGTTTTGCCAAACGGGGCTCTCGGAGTCTAATCTTGGCTGACCCAGTTTCTCTGCCTCAGATGAGCAAAGACAGAGCCCAGTCAGCTCTGTTATCTAGGTCATTAAGCAGCAGCCTCTGTGCAGGCCCCTCTCTGCCAGTGCCCGCCTTTCCTGCCGGTGGCATTGGGTGACCTGTGTACGTACATCTCGCCCGGGGTCGGTGCTTGGCCACGGCTTTCTGGTCCCAGGGGTGACAGTAGGCACGCATCGGGATATGGGTCCTGGGTCCTACAGGTGACCACTGCAGAAATGCTGCCTTGCCGGTTACTGCAAAGCAGCGGGTGGAGGGCACCGTTTCCAGGCCCTCTTTCCACCTCCCTCAACTGACAGCGCAAATCCAGAATAAAAAGTGTGTCTTAGTGACAACACACACACACACACACACACGCGCGCGCACACACACACACACAACAAAGCAATACATAAATAACCGAGCACATGGTCTGCCCAGATTACGTCGGTAGAGAGCACCGGTTCTGGAATCCCAGCTGCCTTCTTGCTGTGTGACTCGTACCAGATACTTGGCTCTCTGAGCCTGCACAATGGGGTAATAGAGTCTACTTATGAGATGTCTCATAGATAAGTACTTTAGCACAGTGGTTGATAATGTAGCCATTGTGATCATAACAACGATTATATGATTTTCAAAATTCAGCTTCCTTTTCTCATTTGGGGCTAGAAGGCATTTTTGCATATTTGCAGTTGAGTCTTTCAGTCCAACCCCATGTTTACCATAGCAACACTTTACAGATCAAACGTAGGGAATGGCTTTCTCCCCAGGCCCCACTCCACACGGAACCGTCTTCTGGTCTCTCCTGCGAGTATTGACAAGTTCTTTTCTTTCTTTCTCCCCTCCCATCTTCTCGCCCTCGTGTAGGTGGAAATCGCATTGAGGTTCTGGCTGAAGTCTGGGACCACTTCTTCACTGAGACTCTCCCCACCCTGCAGGCGATATTTTACCCAGTTCAGGTCAGTCTCACCGGGACAGCCTCTGCTCGGTCTTGGCCACCTGGAGCCTCCTGGTGAAAGGGGGGGAGCCGGGAGGCCGGGTGCCCGAGCCGCCGAGGACCTCAGAGATCTTTGCGGGGAGCTCCGGTTCTCTGTGTAGCATCTACCCTCGAGCCAAGAGGAGGCCCCGCAGAAGTAGCAGTTTGGAGCCCTCATCGCCCTCTGATTTGCAGTGTCTGTATGTTCTCCAAGTGGTTTGCTTCTTACTTTTCAGTAGAGAAGGTGGGAAAGAGGCTGGTCCTGTCTCCCCCTTTCTCTGAAGCACAGTTTTAAGCAAGTTTCCTGGAATCCCAGATCATGGGAAAGGCGTGTCCTCCTCGCCCCCCACAGGGGATTCCCGAAGACCGCGTTGCGGAAAGAACACTGGACTCGGAACTGGGTTGGGTCGGGCACACCTATTCCACTTCTCTGAGCATAGCTTCACCTCACCTCCTGCCCAGTGAGGAGCTGAGACACAAACTGAGAGGCGTGTCTCCTGTGTTCTCATTCTGTGACCTCAGCTCATTCCACCACTCGAGTTCCTTCTACCCTCCTGCAGGGCTGGTCAATGCCAGGTCAGAACGGCCATTCCCTGAAGCAGGTTGACCACAAGACCTTCCTCTCAAATATATGTCTCTGTCACACACCTACAGTGCCGCGTGCTCACTGCCCACTACCCCCCTCAGGTCAAGGCCTCCTGTCTACTCGGGTTCAGTGACGTGCAGGCTTGGGCGTCAGGGAATAGCCGATAGCCACGGTAGGCACTACCTTGTATTAGAGGTAGTGACCTGCGTGCTTTGTAGTCTCCAAATGCAGTTGCAAAGGAATTTGGAATTCTTTTAACTATTTGTCAAATATGGAGTTCTTTTCCCATTCCCATCCCATTGCTTTGTGACTTTGAGCCAGATACTTGGCCTCTCTGAGCCTGTACAATGGGGTAATAGAGCCTACTTATGAGATGTCTCATAGATAAGTAGTTTAGCCCAGTGATTAACATAACCATTCTCATGATAATAACAATTCCAGGCCCGCTCCTGGCAGTCGGCCCACTGCGGTCTTCCTCCTCCCCAGATGGTCCTGCTCCCCGTGAGAGGAAGGATAGCACTGATGTGGACGGCCCAGCCCCGTGCCCACGGGCCTCTCCCTTCCCCGTAGTAGCCCCTCCGCTTCGGCCAGCAGTGGGTCTTAGGAAGACAGTCCTGGGAGGGAGTGTTGACAGATTTAGCAAATGAAAATGCAGGATGCTGCATTAAATTCGGATTTCAGATAAACATGAATAAGACAATGCTTGAGACTTACACTAAACAACGATTCACATTTATCTGGACATCCTGTGTTTTATTTGGCCACCCCACTCACTGAAAGGGGCTTGCAGTCCTGGGTCTGTCTGCGGACCATTTGGGCATGGAATTCTCAGGTGCAGGTTCCCAGATGGGTTTAGCATGGGGACTGTGGGATCTGGGTGGGCGTGGTCCCGGGACAGTCACCGGAGGGCCAGGAGGGACCTGCTTAGGCCCTGATCCAGGCAGGAGCCCCATCGTGCAGGTCTGAGGCTGGCACTGCCCCGCTTCTCTTGAAAAACTAAGATCTGGCAACAATTCGTTTTACCCCATCCACCTCCCCTGATCTCCCAAGTGCTGCTGCTGCTGTTGATCTAGACAACCTTCTTTGAGAATCTCTGACTCAGGGGTGCTCACTACTGGGAGTAACACCTCCTGAGGTGCCTGTAAGTCCAGCCAGATCCTTCTCCCAACTCCGTGTGTGTGTCGGTGTCTGAGACCTGCTTCCTCACTGGACAGATGAGACTCTGAGTGCCTTCTGGGCTCCAGGGGGTGGAACGTGGCCTTCGTGTTTCTACCTGGTAAAACCTTCAGCTCCTGGAGACGAAGTGAGGGCACAGACACCTATGAGATAAGCAGTCAGTGCCAAGTGCTGGGCTGTGGTGCAAAACAAGAGAAAAGGCAGGACCCTGGGAAGATGGGCGGTGGGGGCCACTGCCAGTGGAGGAGGTGCGGGAAGGCGTCCAAGCCTGCGAGGCGTGGGTGGCGGGGTGTGTGTCTCTTGGGACTGGAGGGAAGGAGGATGCAGGCCACCCTTGCCCATGTTTCCGTAAAACCTTCCTAAGGAGTTACAGGAAATGCAGAGCTTTCTTAAGCCGTGGTAGTCTTGCAGGATGGGAGCCATGTCCTGTACAGTGGGGTACACTAGAGTGATGTCTTTGTCTCTACCCAAGCAGCCCATCTGTGGTGTGTTCTGTGTTCGTGTATACAAAGGAGAGCCTGGGACGTGGGCCCTCTTTCCCTTTCTGTTTTGACAGATTCCGGGAGCTCTAAAATCAGATAGTTTAGGTTTGCAGTCCAGTTCCACTCTGGGTAAGTCATTGTCACTCTGGGCTTTAGGATTTCTGTGAATTGGGTTTTATAATAGCATCTCTCTCAAAGGGTGGCCATGGGCCTCACATGGCTGAACAAGTCCCTTTCTTCTACTTTTCTTCCTGAGTTACTTATATTTATATGAGTCTAACAGGTCCCATATTCCCCTGCTTTGCCTGGCATGGGATTGGTGCTAGATATGTAACCGTTAGGTTGAGGAAGCACCCTTGAAGACATGGAGGAGCTGGTGGTCTTTTCTCTTGTTTCTTCCACCCTCCTCTCTTTTCCTTCTTTCTGACCACTCACGGCACGCGTGACAGTGTGGCCTCCATTGCACGTGTCTTGGATCATTGGGTTGTTTAGGCAGGTCAAGTCACACCTTATCTCAAAGAAAGCGTTCATTCTGAAGGATGGGGCCCAGGGCTTTGACTCTTTGGCTCTTTGACAGCCCCCCGGGACGTGCAAACATCTTGTCCTGTTCCGTCCAGGGTGCTCTGAACCCCATGTGGTTGGCTGCAGATCCAGTGAGCTCTCACCTCCCGACACCCCCTCTTCTCTTCTCCAGGGCCAGGAGCTGACCATCCGCCAGATCTCCCTGCTGGGCTTCCGTGATCTGGTCCTGCTGAAGGTGAAGCTGGGTGACTTGCTGCTGCTGGCTCCATCCCAGCTGCCCTCATCCATTGTCCAGATGTTACTCATCCTGCAGGTGAGACCCTGGTGGAGACGGACCCCAAGGCTGGGAGATGAGAAGGAAGAAAGGACTGCACTGTGGGATCAGGGGGAAGGAACCAAATGACCAGAGCACCTTCGCTTAGTGTAGTGTCCTTGAGTCATTCACGTTCCTCAGCTCATTTGTTCATTTGCTGTACAACCACGGGGCATCTTTGAGGCCCCTGACGCCGAGCTCTGTGCTGGGACCCCAGTGAGGAGCGAGGCGCACAGTCCTGTCACTCAGGCAGTGGACGCCCTTCTCTCCTCCCCCGTTCTATCAGGGAGTCACAAGTTAACCCGTAACAGCACGAGCCCACTGCGGCCTAGCTCAAGCCAGACCAGGACGCCCTGGAGGGTTCCCGGGGCAGATGGGCTTCCTAAAGGACTCCAGCCAGAAGGGAGACCATGTCAGGCCGCAGAACCACCAGCCTTTCTCCACGTACTGGTCTCTACTTACATCTGGTCTACCTCGGTTCTCTCTGACGCTGCCTCTCCTGGCCTTGCCTGGTCTCTCTTGGACTTGGTGTCTCTCTCTCTCTCTCTCTCTCTCTCTCTCTCTCTCTCTCTGCAGAATTGCATTCAGGACTTTGGTTTGCACCTGGTCAAATGTGGCATCTCATAGCTCATGTGCTTCCACTAAGAGACAACCCCAGATGGTTGCCTAGTATCTCTTCATCCCAGTTCTAACTCAGCAGCAGGAAGGTGAGCTGAGTTACCGGTTCCTGCCTGGCACGGGCCAAAGACTTTAAATGTGTTGCTTTCTGAATCAAATAATCCACATGACCATGTGATGAGCTGGGCACTGCTGTTATTCCCATTTTACAGATGAGGAAACTGGAACTCAGGAAGTTTATGTGCTTGCCCTAGGTCCCTCAGCAAGGTAGTAAGATCCAGAACTTTGTACACTGGTCCACCGACCACAGGTGAGAACCTTTCCACAGGGCAAAGACTCTGATTGGTCTAGCTCGGGCTACATGACTCCCCTCTGCCCAATCAGCTCAGACCCTCAGTGAGATTAAAAAGTATAAACATGGCTTCAGGGATCCCAACTCTATGGACGGGAGTGCATCATTCTCAAGAAACAGGGCTCGTGGGCTAGGGACACCCCCAAAAGGCTACTGTACTTTCTTCACTTCTGTACCAGGTTCAGATCCTGCAGCACCAGCTCTGAGCCCGTCCACAGAGATCATTCCATCCTCGGTCAGGCGCCGGGCCCCCAGGCTGTCCTCTCCGCAGGAGTGGGGCATCAGGCTCGGGGCCCCATTGTCTCTGCCCCTTTGGCCGTTCCCCTCCTGTTCTCTTGATAGACCGTCATCGGGGCTTCCTTCCCCTTTCCTGAAATCAGAGCAGAGGAAGAGCGGCCCATGGGATGCCAGTGGGCGTGATCGGCTGGAATGCCAGGTCCCCTTTTACAGCCGGGAACGAGAAGGAAGGGGCTAGAAAAGTGTGGGTGCCGCTCATGTCTGAGAACCGTAAAGTAGAGCTTGGATCCCGAGTAAGGAATCGCAGCGATGAGCTCTTTGGGATTCGGGTAGGAAGGTCAGGGAAGCTGAGCTCCCACCCTCTTGTCCATTTATAATATTTCAGCGATGAGGTGATTCCTTTTTCTTGTTTTGCTTGTTGGTAAGGGGAACTGAGGGCGCGCACCTGTGGGTGGTAGACCAGGAGGCCTGTTTCTGTGGCGATAAAAGCACTTCCTCCATTCCAACATTCTGGGGCCTGTGCCCAGCAACCAGCAACCACACGAGAAAGCTGTCGTCATCCCATGCAGCCCCGAAAAATGGGTAGACTGCTTTTCCAGGAGGGTCTTCCTTCATCCATTCTGGCCCCCACCTGTTTGTGTTCCATGGAGTAGCGTCAACTTTTCAGTGATCCCTGGTGATCATAGGATGACAGCCTTCTGTGCCCTGGCCCTCGGCCCCTCCACCTCTCAGCCTCACCTGGAACCCGACTTCCCTGCTGTTCAGCTCTCTGGCCACACTGGCCTTGCCCTGTGCAGGGCTCTCTGTGCCCCCGTCTCTCTGCTCGGAACCCTGGGTCTCCTGTGGCCCACAGGTGCCCTCAGGTCAGGGGGTCTGTACGTCTTCTCCTTCCTCTGGACCCCAGGCCGATGCTCTAACCGCTGAGCCAAACCAGCCAGGGTGTCTTCTCCTTCCTCTAGTGCCTTCAGCACGCAGCACAGTCTCTGGCACATGGCAGGTGTTAATTAAACATTTGTTCAGTGAATGACAGCACAGCTAGTAAGGGCTGGGGTAGGACCGAACCCAGGTCTCTGGCCTCACGGCGGTGACAAGCACACGGGGATTCCAGCCTCGGCAGAGGGAAGCACATTTGGAGAAACTCTGGTCGTGCCCTGGCCGGTTTGGCTCAGCGGTTAGAGCGTCGGCCTGCGGTCCAGAGAGAAACTCTGGTCGTGACACATTTCTGGGAAGTCGGGCAAGGAAACAGTCCCTGTTTTCACATTTCACAGATGAGGTGGAGGTTCAGAGACCTGGCTAAGTAGCCCGAGGTCACATCCTGATTTATGAGATGGATTTGCCCCTCGTTCCTTAGCTCTTGCTTTGCTCCCTGCCGCCTGGCCTTTCTGGGCTACCACTGTCTCCCCGCCATTGCACGCGGACTCCCGGGTGCTTGGAGAGGCCCGTCAGCTTTTCAGACGGTCCTGCTTTAACAGGGAGCATTTGACCTCATTCTTCCCCTGCCAGCCCCGAAAACTCCACTGCCACGGAGGGTTCTTGCTTTAAACAAATCCACTCCACTTTGCGGATTTGACGGGCCGGCCGTTGGGCTGAGCACAGCCCCCACGATCCTTGTCACTGCTCCCCGACAGCCCCTCAGCACAAGAGCGTGGCTTGGAGTCCTTTCCAGTGATCAGCGGAGTCCCCTGGGGGTCGGCTGGTTTTCGAGAAAACCTTGGTTGCTTCCTGGCTCCTTTCCGGATTTGACTGTTGTGGTGGAATTGTTTTAGCTGATGTTTGCTCTGGCCTTGGCCCTGAGGGCTCCGGGCACGCAGGGCTTTTGAACTAACTCTTCCTCTGGTGCGGAACATACATCTTGTTCCACGGTGACTCCCTTTCTTCTACTGGTCTTTTTCATATTCTGTCCCCCTTTCTTTTCTAGCCTGTTAACAGAGGCAGTAAGATGTGCTTGGAGCCAACAGCCTGGGTTGCAGGCCTGGGGGTCTGCTGCTTACCAGCTGCGCTTTCCTGGCCAACGTGCTGAACCATTCTGGGTCTTAATTTTCTCCTCCGTAGAAGGGAGATGATGAGAGTGTCACCTTCCCTGGGTGGTTGCGAGGCCTCTGCGCTCTGATACACGTCACGTGCTTCTATACAGTGCCTGTGCCAAGTGTGGAGCTGTCATGTGACATTGGGGGTGGGATTACTATGGTTGGGACCAGTCCTCAACCCTGGAGCTGGGGGGCGGGGGGACAGTCCACCTACACTGCATTGGCGGGACCTGTGGGAGAGGCGCCATGACAAGTGACAGGCTTCAGGCCTCAGTTTCCTGCGTTCGAGCCACGAGGATGCTGCCTACTGGTATCACGGCCTTGGACGTAGTAGGAGGGCCAGCTGGCCGTGGCGACTTTGACTGACCTTTGCCTGTCTTGGATGTTCGTTCCCAGAGTGTTCATGAGCCCACAGGCCCCAGCGAGGGTTATTTGCAGCTGGAGGAGCTGGTGAAGCAAGTGGTTTCTCCTTTCCTGGGCATCAGCGAGGACCGCGGCTTCCCAGGCCCCGTGCACACACTGGGTAAGGAGCACGGCTCTAGAGCGCCGGGAGCCTTGATGATAACGCGACCAGCTCCATCTTCCTGGGCCCCGATTCTGTGCCAAGACTATCGCTTCCGATGCAGGCCTGTGCAAGGTGTGCCTGTGAGTCCCTCAGGCTGCCGGCTGGCCTGTGTCTCTGTGACCTCCCCACGGTGATTCCTCCCCGGGAACCCCTGTGCCTCTCGGTGGTGCTTGTCCATCTTTGATCGGTGGCCCTGATCTTCCCCTTGTGCCTGCCACGTGAATTTTTCCTGCACCTGACACCAGACACGGTGCGCTCCCGCACCACCCTGCACCCGGGTGGAAACACCACCCGCGGTGACTTCCCTTTGAAAGCATCAGGACATGTGAAGCCGACACTTTTGCATGTGTGGCCAGAGGAGGTGGTACCAGTTCCATTTCTGTAGGTACCACCAGGGCCTTCACACCAACGGAAGGGGCTCCTGGGCTTGGGGACCAGTCCTGTTGGGGCCTTTTTTGGTGTCTGGAAAGTTAGCATGAGGGAGCATCAGGCCTTGTACTCAGCAACTTGGAGAAGCTAGAGATGATCGGATCCGTTCTCTCCCTCAGCGAGACCCCGTCGGGATGGGGAGATGGCTCTATGATAAGGCTGATCATCAGAGACGGTTCAGTTACCCTCTGAGACTAAAGCTCCCAAATGTAGGAACTTGGTGTCGGTTGTTCTCTCTCCAGGAACTGGATGGTGCCTGGTGTACAGCAGGTGCTCAGACATGTGTGTGAGAGGGATGGCATCCGTACCCCAGGGCCAGGGTGACCAGCCCACAGAGAGAGGCAGAGACGGAAAGAGGTTCCTGGATTTGGAACCTTTGCCCCTGTCCCAGCGTGAACGCACCTGGAGCTGAGCCGCAGCAGAAAGGGGAGGAGCAGCCTCCGGCGCCGCCCCTGCCCCTCCCTGGGCCTCTCTGCTGCGGAGACAGGCCGGCCGGCCGCAGTCCTCACGGCCCCTGCATGTTCCTCTGGAGACCAGCTCACACAGCCGCCACACAGGGGGGCGCCGCCCCAGCCTGCTGCCCGCCATCCCCCCGCCCCCACGCATGCCGCCCAGGAGCTGGAGCAGCCAGAGTAGAAATGACAGCCGAAGGGAACCTGCCCTGTGGGCCGTGACTGGCTGAAATGTCACCTTGCCCTCCTGGAGCCCAGCCTCCTGCTCGGGCTCAGCCCCCCAGCTCACCTCGCCCAGGCCCACGAGCGGGGCGGGAGGGTCAGGCAGAGGCCAGGGTGCCAGCAGGTAAGGCCGTGGCAGGGACCACCGTCGCTGGGCCTAGAGCCAGGAACAAGAGTAGACCCAGAAGTTTGTTCAGGGAGGACTTACTCCAAGAGGGGTCCCTTCAGTTTCCCAACTAAAATAATAATACCTACTTTTGTCCAATTATTAGGCAAAGGCCTGAGGCTTCGTTCTTGTACCAAGGACAGTCCTTTCCTTCTGGGGTGTTGTCTCAGTAGGGGCGGGGCGGGGGGATGACCCCCTTTGGATCATTTTTGTGTTACTGTTTCAGCAAACGTGCACTCAGACCCTGGCCAGGCACCTTGGAGGTGCTGCAGGTATTTCTGTAACAAAGCTGACTCACCCCTGCCTCGGGAGCATGGGCCAGTGAGGAAGTCACAAGTCATCGATGATGACTCATCAGTGTACGAGCACTCCGAGTGGGGAAGCACAGGGGCCGCGGCAGGGGGCTTTACCTGGACGGGGAAATCAGGGAAGGCTCCCTGGGGGAGATGACATCTGTAATGGGACCTCTGGGATGAACATGAGTTAGCTGAGTAAACAGGACAGGCGGACTGCCCCAGAGCAAAGGGGAGGGCCTTTGGAGGGCTTTGGGTAGGGAGCGGGGAACAGGCGGGTGCTGCATTTGAGGAACTGAAAGGGCTTCGGAGCTGCACAGTGGCTGGCGGCGAGGGGAGCCCGGGACACAGGCAGCGTCCTGGGTGCTGTGCTGGGTGGCTGGACAGGACACCATGCCGCAGGGTAGGCTCTCGTTCCCATGTCCCAGGCGAGGGAAACTTGGCTGTGGGAGCCAGGCTCCCAAATCCCCAAGCTGGGCGACTTGACCAGCTGCCCCACCTCACCCTTCACCCCTTCACCCCCGTCGACTCCCAGGAGGTGACTGTGGTTTGACTGAGGGGCAGCTGAAGAGGCGGTTCTTCCCCCTCATCCCTTAGTCCAAGGGGCACCTGAGACCAGACATTTCCCCTCACACCTCCGGATACTAAAAGTCGACAGTGGCCGCAGCAGAGCCCTTCCTCACGGGGGACACTCCCTTCCAGGCTCTCTGGGCCTGTCTTCCCCTCGGAGAAATGGAGACAGTGACGTTTATCCTGCCCATAGGAGAGGAGGGTGGAGATGACCCGCTGCAGTGAAGACTAAGATGTGCCACACGTGAGAACCCTGTGCCCACAGGGGCTCGGCCGTGGGCCGCTGGGCCCGACCAGGGTGGGCTGGTCGAGGCAGCGGGGGTGAGCGTCTGAGAAGCCACCACTTCCCAAATGCCTGTCCCATTCCAGGTGCTTGGCATGGATTCATTTCGTCCTGGCACAAGCTGCCGGGGTGGGGACTGTGGCCACCTTGGGCTCAGAGTCGCTAAGAGACGTTCCCACGGTCAAGAAGTGGTTTTCCTAGGATGCTCCTTCTTGTTGGATCCCGGGGTTCGTGGGGGTCTCTAGCTCTCTCTCTGGCGGCCGGGCCCACGGGCTTGAGGAGTAAGCCTCACTCCTGGATATGCAAGCTCGCTGCAGAGAGAAAAGGAGTCCGAGATGGAGTGTGTGTGTGTGTGTGTGTGTGTGTGTGTGTGTGTGTCCTCTAAAGTTGTCACTTTTCTAGGGCAGTGGGGGAGAGGAGGAAGATAATGGAATCGTAAATAGGCCCATTTGTCAGCACCCAGGCCCCATCCTACCTTCCTATAGAAGTTCCCGAAGCTTCCAAGCCTCTGCCCGGCTGCGCCCAGGGCCCTCCGAGCAAACAGCTTCCTGCTCCATTTCGCACAAAGCCCTGGCCTCCCACACATCGGCCCCCACCCCGTTGTGTCTGGGGGGGGCTTTGCCTCCAGATACTGTGGCTTCTCTCCCTGACAAGTAGGCATTCATGGGCATTCAGGTGCTGGGGCCTGGAGAGGGACGCCCACAATGGGCTTGGTGTGCAGGGGTCACAATGCCCGCATTGTGGCCGCCACTCCTGTGGGGCCCGGCGGGTGAGCCATGGAGATCAAAGGCCTGGGAACTGAGTCCCCAACAAAGGGCCCGAGGAGCACCTCACCCTGGCTTTCTTCTCTCCGGGTGTGAAAGGAGCTGCCGGGGCTGGTGCAGGGGGGTGGATGCCAGAGCTCAGCGGGGAGCCTGGGCACGAGGAAGGAAAAGCCCCCCCCCCACTCTGTGTGACCCTCAGTGGTGCCTGGAGGTGGGTGTCTGCGCAGGGGGCAGAACCCGGCCCCTTCCCTGCTCAGAGAGCACCAGGGCAAGTGAGGGACCTGTTTTTAGACCCCAGGGTGTACCGAGAGCTTCATCAGCCCCTCCACGGGAGGTTCCCTTCTCTGGTCGCAGGACCCGGCCTTCCCTGGCGCGAAGAAGGAAAACAGGAGAAAGCAATCAGCAGTGTGGGGAGCTGTCTGTCAGCTCCAAGCCTGGCGTCAGTGTTAAGGCCTCCAGGGGGGCCAGCGGGGGCTGACCCCACTGGGGACGCAGCACACACGCTTGCCTGGGGGTTGCCTCTGGAGTCGTGGGAGCTTAGCAAGCCGACGCTGTCTGCCCAGGAGACTCCACAGCCTGGTAGCCCCTGTGGTCTGGGCTCTGCCCACACCCATCTTGGGAACCAAAACATTTTGCCCAGAAAGAGAAGGAAGAGCTGTGGGCCTCTGGTGAGTCACAGCAGGGAAGTCAGGGAGCAGCAGAAAGGAGCGGTGTGGGGCCGGCCGCAGAAGGAGCGGGGCTTGGAAACTGCAAGGGCTGGGCTTCAGCTGTGTGGCCTGGAGTAAGTTACTTAACATCTCTGAGCTGCCCAGGGCTGAGCACAGAGGAGAAAGAAGCTGCCCTATCTCAGAGCAGGACCCAGGCAGAGCTGCTTCCTGCCACGCTATGGGCCCCAGCTGGAGGTGGCCTGGGCCCCTGGGAACCACTGCAGATGAGGCGTTGTGCGCCCCCCTCCCTCTCCTGGACCCCAGGCCACAGCCTGACTTAGCTGTGCCCTGTCGTCAGGCCCTGATTATTTGTCATCTCCCCTTAGACTGTGAGCTCACTGTGAGCTCCCTAAGGGCAGGGAGCATGTGGTTCCCCCTGTAACCCAGGCCCCAGCGCAGACCTGGCCTCCCGCTGAGAGTGAATGGCCAGTCTGGGCCAGTCTGTCAGTCACTCAGAGGAGCAGGCCCATCTGCAATGTCCCCTCTGCAAGACGTCTCTGAATCCCCAGAGCACTGTCGTCTGTAGCTCTGCCTTGACATTTGCCATGTTGACCTGTGTTAATAGTATGTGAGTGCGGGCCTCCCAGTGGTCAGAGTCGGGGCTCTGCTGGTAGCCCTGGGCTGGAGTCCTGGTCTCCTCACCAACTGTGACTGTCAAGTTACGTAGCTCTCAGCTGCAGTTTCCTTTGCTGCAAAATGGTCTCAAGTTCATGTCAGTGAAGCATGCCCTTTTTTGATACATAATAGATGTTCAGTTAATGATTGCTTCTAAGATGGTTTCCTGCGCCCCCCCTTCGCCCCCCCACCTTCCCACACACACACACCATGCACGCCCCCCCCCCCCCACACACACACACTGTGCACTGGGCTCCAGCCCATGGCAGGCTCCATATCAGGTTTATGTTTCTCTTTCTCCTGCTTTGAGCACAGCACTTTGCACTTTGTAGCTCAAGAAGTGTTTGCTGCAGGAGGGGGCAGGGGCCATGGGGACCCCCTCCTCCAGGTTGCCTGCCCTGGCTTTGGGCTGCTGGACTGACAATGTCAGAGAGGTGGACAACATCCAGGCACCCTGCTGAGACACCTTTCCTGCCCCATTCTGCCAGGGTGGGGCCCATGGATATCATCACGTGCATTCCCGTCTCCTCCAGGGAGGCTGTGTGTCCACCATGCACGCCTGACCCCATGCCTCAGCTTACCTGTGTCCTGGCGCAGCTTCTGTTCGAGCTCTTTCCTCTTCCTAGACGTGCATGTCGTAAATGCTCAGCCAACAGTCTCGCCCCGTCTCCTGCCAGGCTGGTCGTAGAGTCGGGGCCACAGCACGGGTTTGCGATGGCCGATCCCGGGTGCCTGCTCTGAACAGCAGCGGGAGAGAAATGGATTGTTTTCGAGGGCATTTTTAAAGGATGCTTCTTTAATGGGGTCTCTGCTTCTTTGAACTCTTTCGCTGCTTCTGGTGTATAGGGATCGATTTCTGTAATCATAAAAGTAATACATGGGTATTGTGAAAACCCGGGGACGTCACAGAGGTGTGCGGCTTCGGAGAACACCTCTGCCACGGTCTGGCACGGTCGCGCATCGGCCTGTGGCCCCCTGTCACTCTTCCCCACTGATGAGGAGTTGCTGGCCCCCACGGCGTCCTCCTCAGTCACAGCCTGTTTCTCTGTTGCAGCCAGGCGCCACTCCCGGGTCCGGCCCAAGTTCACCGTCCTGAACTATGGCTCCCCGATGACCGCCACCAGCCGGCCCCTGAACGAGATGGCGCTGACCCCGCTGACGGAGCAGGACGGGGAGGCCTACCTGGAGAAGTGTGGCAGTGTCCGGCGGCACACGGTGGCCAACGCCCACTCTGACATCCAGCTGCTGGCCATGGCCACCATGATGCACTCGGGCCTGGGCGAGGAGCCTGGCGGGGAGGACCCGTGCCTGCTCCTGCCGCCCCGCTTCTCCCCGCCCCACCGCCAGTGCTCCAGCGAGCCCAGCATCACCGACAGCCCGGAGCAGCTGGAGGGGGAGGCCGGGGGCAGCCAGGGGGACTCGGAGCTGAACTGTGCGTCCCTCCGCTGAGCGCCGCCTCCGGGACTTCCCAGCTCCTGCCTCGCAACCGGAGGAGGAGGGCTCCATCCTGGGCATCACCGCAGGCTCTTCTGGGCAGTGCTGCCTTACGTCTTTTCGGGTACAGGCCTCGTGGATGTGTCCTGGGGGACATCCCTGTTGTAAACCTCTCCATGTCTGTGGCTGTGACCACCTCTCTGCAGCTGCACAGACCAGCTGCCCAGTGTTCTCTTTCTGCCTTCCAGCCTTGCCTGTCCGATGCCCCTAGTAACATTCCCCAGTGCCCTTGGCATTGCTGTAGCAGGAGGTTGTCTGAGCCACACACACAGCCAGCAGGGATGGGGTGCCGTCCCCTTAGGTCTGGTGATAGAGGCCGGTGGGTGAGAAGATACCTCTTCTCCCTGCTTTTGTGTGTGGGAGCGAAAGGAGGCAGCCCGACCACGCAGGGCTCTGGGAAGTGCCTTCCTTATTTTAGTGTCAGAATTACTGGGAGAGAGTTGCCCCACTGGAGCTGGGGGTCCACCCTCACCTACACCAGGCCGCCAGGCTGGAGAATCCCAGTCTCTGATGCACCTCAGCATTTCCCCCTGAGCTTGCTCCCAGCCTCACAGAACTAACCTCCCAGGAGAGTCGCTGGTGCCTCTATCCCTCTCTTACTTCAGAAACTGACCACTTTCCTGTTGTGGGTGAAGGGCCTGCTGATACCAACCAACTGGTCTTGTTCCTGGATTTGACTTGAATTTTTTAAATGCGCATTGTTTAAAGAAATTGCACATATTTGCACGTGGGACCTTGCACTGCTCCTTCCCGGTGGGTGCGTCTTCAAGCTAAGAAATCGGCACACTCTCTGGGGAGGTGGTGCGGGTGGGAGTGATCCCTGCTGGGCAGGAGCTGCTGGATTTGAATCCAGAACTGCCTGTGTGTCAGTGTTGTGATGTCTAGGAGAAGCTGCAGGGAGGGAGACAGCTCACCTCCTGAGCAGAGGGTTGCAGCAAATGGAATGTCTCAGTGCTTACAGCGGGGGAGGTGGGGGGATGTAGGTAGGACCCTTTGGAGAGATGTTCCTTCCCTGTGGTTAAAGAAGTACCCAGAAGTGCCTGAAACTGCTAACATGTTAGGTCTCCAAATGCCGTTAGGGCTGCAGGCTTTGACAATGCCGTGTCCTTAACACTGCTCCCTCCAGGCCCGGGCTTGTTATCCACCTCGACCCTCTGTTCTCCCTGTGGCTGCCTGTGGGCCCCACTCCTAACAGCTTCAGAAGAAAGGAGAAGGCTCCCCCTGGACTCTTCTGGCACCTTCTAGGTATCCTGTTGGGCTTGGAAACTTTGTTACTGAAATCTCAGAGACGTTGGGCTTCGAAGCTCGGCCTCGAATGTGCCTGGGAGAGGGTGAGGACGGTGGCGGGGAAGGACCTCCTGACTCTGCAGCATTTCCCTTCTGGGCGGAGATCTGGACGACCACCCACGTGGTCTATCTGATGGCTTGTAATTTGGAAATTGCGCTTAACACTTTGTTTCATGTTCATCCTTCTACAAGAGTGACAGAAGAGAAATGTCCAAAGCAGATCTGAGAATTTCAAACCGACAGAAAACGTCCTGGTGTGTGTGTTGGATGACGTCCGCAGGCTAACACGCGTTAGCGGGTGGAACATCAGTAGGTGTCACCACAATGAGTTGTTTAACCCATGGCTTCCGTCCTTCAGTGCACTGAGCACTTGGGACTGGTATTTACTGATCCAGGCAACAGATGAATCATGCTGGGTGTTTTGTTTTTTTTTAGTTTACAACATTAACAATACCTATGTTTTAAATGCCTTTTCCATACAATGACCCCATGCAGATAGCCGTCAGCAGTTAGACACGGGAGCTCTTAGGCTGAGAAGGGCCTGCCGGTCCAGACCCTGTGAACTTGATTTTGCTAATGACTGTTAGCCCGTTTACATCACCTTTGATGCACACACCTGCTGCCTGTACCGTGAGTACTTCCGACTGTACCTGAAACAGTCTGACTGGCGGCCACGGGCATTCTCGCTCTGGAGCTGGTGCGGGAGTGGGAGCACCGGTGCGGTCACCGCGGTCGCTCTCCTTCCAGAGATGAAGGTGCATTTTCCTTGTTTGAGCGAGGACCTTCCTGTGGCTGAGGTTCAGGGACAGGAAGCGATCACTGTAAGCTCGGAGTGAGCTCACAACCCAACACCTCTCATGTTGTCTGTTTCCAAAGCGGGTTCAATAAACATCATTTCGTACACGTTACCTGCCCTGAGTCCGTGCGGCGGTGCCTTGCGTGGTATCTGTTAGGCGCCCTGTCCTCACACTCTGCCCCCGTTTTCCTGTCCCCTTCCCCCCTTCCCTCCAGGGTTGGGCAGCAGCCTCGCCCCAGCCAGTCTCCCAGGGTTTTGTTTGCCATCCTTGTCTGGATTGACAGTCATGTCCTGGAGACGCGGCCTGTGAGCGGAGCTTGGAAAACACCGCGCAGAGTCTGAGAAGGAAAACCTCTTCTCGGCCGGCTTGCTCTCTTCCTGGGACGTCTGAGCGAGAGGGGATGCTCATCCTATTTACTCATGGTTGTCGCACGTAGTCCCCTCGCTTCTGTTTGGCAGACAGAGTTTATAATGCATGACTCTCGGCCCAAGTTTTCCTCGGGGGACTGGAGCGGCATCAGCCTGAGTCCCCTGGAGGCTAAGACGTCTGAGGGGGGTGACCTGGACTGAGGGCAGGTCCTGGGCACGTGACGGGGTGTGTACATTTCTGTGGAGTGCGAGGCTGTCACTATGGGAACCGGCGGCGGAGCACTCTGCCCGGTAGATGTCATGTCACTGGTGCGCGCTGCGTTCACGCATCCATCCTCTCGTGCGCCCGCACGATCTGCAGCCGCCACTACGCCTAGGCACTCCTATGGGTGCTGGGGATACATGGTGGACGTGACCAAGGCGCCTGTCTTTGCAGCTTCCACTCTTAGGTCAAATGAAGAACATCAGACGCAATAAAATGGCAAAAGGCAGTGACGGGAGGGTGACCTGAGGTGAGGTGGTGGAGACCGTCTCTCCAGCATTGACTTGAGCTGAGACCTGAGTGACAAGGACCAGCCTTACAATGGGCTTTCATTTTCTATCACCGATGTAACCAATTCTCACAAATCAGTAGCTTAAAACAACACACATTTATGACCTCAGTGCTGTGGGCTAGCGGTCTGCATGGGTCTCCCGGGGCTGAGATCCTGGAGCCGGCAGGGCTGTGTTCCGTTCTGCAGGCTCTAAGGCAAACCCACGTCCCGGCCTTTGCGAGCTTCCAGAGGCTGCCAAGCTGCTTGGCTCCTGGCCCTCTTCCTCCATCTTCAAAGCCAGCCTGCGCTCCGCCTCCCTCTCCCACTTTTAAGGAGCCTGTGGGACCCTGGCCGGTTTGGCTCAGCGGTTAGAGCGTCGGCCCGTGGACCGGAGAGGCCCGGGGTTTGGTTCCCCCTAAGGGCACGTACCTCGGTTGCAGTTTGTCCCCGGCCCTGGTTGGGGTTGTGAGGGTGGCAGCCACTCAACGTGTCTCTCTCACATCGATGTTTCTCTCTCTCTCTTCCTCCCTCTCTCCCTCCCGCTCTATCTGAAGCAAAAAGAAAAAAAAAGATTTCTGTGGTGCTGCCTCTGCTGATGGTGCCCTCAGTAGGAGAAAGGCCAGCCACACGGTGCGCTGAGGACCCTGGAGGAAGAGACTGCCTGGGGAGGGTGGATGCTGGTCTCAGGGCCCAGGGCACACTGGCTGGCCTGGCCCAGGGGCCTTGGAGCTGGCCTCCACCCGCCAGGGCCTAGACTCCTGCAGTGACCATGGTTCTGGTGACCCTTGCTCAGATCTTTCTCTTACTTCTCATCCCATCCCCCCTGTCTGGAACTTTACGACTTGGTATCAATTTGTCTGCAGACGTCATCGCTCCCTGTGGATGTCCCCACCTGGTTTTTCTAAAATGCAATCCCTACTTAAAACTTCTCTCTGTCCCTGGCCGGTTTGGCTGACCGGTTAGAGCGTCGGCCTGCAGTTCGGAGAGACTCAGGTTCGGTTCCCGCTAAGGGCACGTACCTCAGTTGCAGTTTGTCCCCGGCTCTGGTTGGGTCGTGCGGGTGGCAGCCACTCGATGTGTCCCTTTCACGTCAATGTCTCTCTCTCTCCCTCTCCCTCCCACACTATCTGAATAAAAAATGGAAAAATGTCCTCAGGTGAGGATAAATAAAACAAAACTTCTCTCTGGCTTCCAATGACATGCACACACCTGACCTTGACTTCAGGTCCTCCCTGAGCTGACCCCACCTGCCTGTCCGGCCTTGGCTGCTCTCTGACTGCTCACTGCCCCGGGAAGCTGCCCTCCACCTCCTCGCCCTACCTCCTCGCTCCTGCTGCTGTCTCCCTGCTCCAGGTCGAAGGAGCCACTTCTGCCTCTGCACATGCTCAGGTGCTGTCCCAGGGAGCTGAGGATGTGCAGGGTTTCTGTTCGCCTGCTTGGGGCCTAGAATACAGAGAAAGTTCGAGTCCTGCTTGAACGAATGAATGGGTTGGTGATCAATGTGATCTTCTCTCTTTCCCTCCCAGGTGTTTACAGAAGACCCTCACCCCCTTTCCTTTGTCCTTAGGCTGGGACCTTCCCCACGCTGCACTCTCGCGTGTTGCAACTGAAGCTATGTGGCCAGGTGACCCTGTGAGCACAGGTGCGGGCCACGTCTGATTTCCTCCGGCTCCAGCTGGTGGCTGCCATGTCCCTGCAGAGAGCCGCTCCGGGGTCCACAGGGCTGATGTTTTGCTCCCCAGCCAGCTGCCTTCTCCTGGGCCTGTCCCCTTTCTGTCTAAGGTGAGACATTCCTTTGGGGCCTGAAACAGGAGCTCCTGTTGTTTGCTGCAGGGCCTTCTCTTTGAAGACACCCTCCTGTCAAGGAGTAAGCGGAGGTGCCCCAGGCCAGTGTGCTCAGGCCAGAACCTCCTTGCCCTAACCCACTGCACTCAGGATCCAGCACAAAGGAGATTCAAACCCTGCTGCCCTGGCATGCCGGGCACGGTGGGACGATCCTCACAGCCACCTGTCAGGCGGGATCACCTCCATTTTAGATGGGGAAACTGAGGCACGGATGCTTTAAGTGATGGATGTGGGAGTCAGTGCCAGGTTCTTCCACCCCAAGTCCAGTAGTCATCCCCCTATTCCATGAGGTATCCTGGCTTGATGGAAATCAGGGAAGCGGAACAGAGTATGCCCAGGCCGCTACGTGGTAAGACGGTGTGAGAGAAGAACGAAGCTGCCTCTTGTTTTTCTCCAGACACTTCTAGAAAACCTGGGGCAGCGAGCGGGGGTCGGGGGGACTCATGTCCTGGACAGCAGGTTTCTCTTATGGAAGAGATCTCAGTGTTTTATCTTTCCTGTAAAATTCACGTTTAAATTTGGCTTTGAAACATAATATTTTAATAAGTTAAATAATCACTTAACATATAACAGAATGATTTTATCTTTAGATTCAATATTCAAGTTAACAGATTAGAAAATCTTTTTTTAGGTTTTTAAGTTCAGCTCACAAGTGTTATTATTCTACACGTCTAGTCGATTTTAGCAATAACATTGGAGGGGGCTTTGAATAGTGTCTGGTCCTATTCACCAGCTCAGCTGAGCACTTCAAACACTTTTAAATGCATTTGTAAATTTATTTATTTATTTTGTAAGTACTTCAGTTTTTCTGACAGCGTGCAAAATCTTTCCAAATCCTAAATTCTTATGGGAACTAATAAATTAAGCTTACAAATAAGGAAAACTTTAAATATTCCTATACTCAAACTTGGATGTCACCATAAAAAAAAAATCACAAGTCTAAATTAATTACTCTATACATTTCAAAGCGCAGTTATAAAACTGCCACCCTAATGGGCCTTACTGTCTTAAATTTCATGTGTATCCAAAACACCAAATAGGCACCAACTCCTTTCTTATATAAAAACCAGTTCTATGGTTTTGTTTCTCTTAAATCTAAGATTAGGCTGAGCCTAATCTTCCTCGTGTGTTGGTAGTCAAGCTATCGTCTCTCAGCTCCAAGCCTTTTCTATATTTTGGGATGCTAGGCTGGGATTCTGCACACCCCATCTCTGCTCTGTTAGCTCTGCCAACGGGGGCGCTAGAGGGAGGCTGGTGGAGCGGCAACATCACCCGGCAGGGACAGTTGGGTCCAGTAGCAACAGCTAGTTCCCGTTTGCAATTTTTCACAGCCCCAGAACCAGCCTCGACATCGCCCCTGGGAGAGGGAGCAGCATGGGCTGGCCCGGGCTCCTCCTCCGAGGACACTCCTCCAACCCTGTACATTGCAGTCACCCCCCAACGCTTCCTTTTGTTTCCCCACTTCTAAGGGCGGCAGTTGCTCTGTGGTTACCACTTCTGGGACTGCTCCGTGTCCCCTCTTTGTCATTTAATTTGTCCAATACCTGATTAGTAATTCTTGATAGTAAATGCTCTCTGTTAAAATGATGGAGGTGGCTTTTGTCCCCTGACTAGACCCTGACCGATGAATGGGGGTGGAAAACGGCACACCCACTAAAGACAATAACCCTCCCAGCTCACTGAGGTTGCCCATGACCGGAAATGTCCTTTGGATGTGAGACTGAGCTGCAAACATTCAGTGATTCTTTTTACCCCCACCCATCTAAGAAAACTGTAACAATTCAAGTAATTGTGATTGCTCCTCTGAATTCATGAGATGGCAGGTGAATCGAACTCGATTCTGGTCAGTGTCCCCAAGAGACCTGGGATAATATCAGTCAATGACTCCATAACCTAAAAGAAGTGATCTTGTGGGCAATTGTCTTAGACAGTTGCCTAGTTCTTCACTCTACCTTCAGAAGTATGCCTTTCTCACCAAGTCACTCATTAAACTGGTTCTTAATTTATTTGGTCGTTTGGCCTACATTTAATGACCTTTGAGAAGAATTCTGAGCAATGTAAATGTCTTGAATCCTAATAGTTCTCCTGAATGCTTTCATTTCCTCAGGACCACATAACTTTGAAGAAATACTTCTGTCTTATATCAAGTAAATAACTCGCTAGTTTTGTCTGGGGCCCAACTGATGAGGTCATTCCATTCTCTGTAGACTGCTCTAGGATCAAGTCAATTGCCTGTCAACAGAAACTTGCTGCCCATTCTCAGGTAGTTAGGAGACAGGCTCAATAAATGGAAACAGCATAAGGCTTCTGGTTCTGGTCACAGGGGAATGGCTTGTCTCAGATTAATCTTCCTACCCAAATAATGATAATATATAAAGCAACTGCTTGAAGAAATTGGAGAGCACCCAGTGTAGACAGGATCTGAGAGGCCATGACCCTGAAGAGAGGGGAAATGTATTAGGCAATCTTCACATTCATCCTGGTTGTTCCTGAGGGCATTTGGCCAAATCACTGGTGGGGATGGGTGGTGGGAAGCGTGG